CAGAATCTGTAGACCAAACTTCCACTCCACCAAACTCATCATCAACAACGTTTTCCTGCACAATCAAAGCATTCATGGACACGTTAGCAGTTTCCTTCTTCTTTATCTCCTCCAGCTTTCTCATGTAGTAAGTCTCGTCATCTTCACCCTCTTTTTTCTCAGCCATCTTTCTCAGCATACAATCCTTGGCAAAGTGGTTCTTGCCATGACAGTAGTTGAAATCGTAGCCAGAGTCTCCCACAAGTTTACTCCTTCTTCTCATCGTTCTTTTGGGTGTTGTTCTTCGGTTCTTCCTTCACCTTTTCAGAACTATAGCTTCCCTGCCAGTTTCGGTTCTTATTGACTGGGAATTTTCTGCGAGCAAACTTCTTTGGGTTTGTGACCATCATTGCATATTCTTCGTTGGATAGATCACACTCAGACAAATCAGATTCCTCCTCCTCGTTTGCTACATTCTTGCTTTTAGAAACGAGGGCCAGTGAACCCACACCCGAAACTACTTTTGCTTCCTTCGTTACCACGCTTTCATGAGATTTTAGAATACCCATTAGTTTCGCCAGTGAATATGATTTAAATTGCTCATGAGCCTTCACAGTCGAAACTACCGCCATCCATTCGGGCCTTAATCCATTCATGAAGGTAACCTTTTGTTCAATCACCTTCCTTTCAATGCCATGTTTCATCATCTTGCTGAGCAGATGATTGAATCGCTCGAATGTCTGAACAAGCTTCTCTTCATGTTTCTGTACAAAAGCACCAAACTCAGATAGCAAAAGGGTTTGGATCGAGTGCTCTAGATCTTCATCTGTTGAGTACAATTCTTTCAACCTATCCCATATTTCTTTAGCTGTTGTGCATGAACTCACCAGACGAAATGTATCGGACTGTAATGCAAACCGGATCATCCTCATGGCTTTGACGTTACATAACACCTTGTCATTTTCGTCTTGAGGCATCTTATCTTGGTCCGCCAGGAGTTGGTTATACTCTTTTTGAGTTTTGACTGTTCCATTTGTTCCAGAGTGAACAAACGGACCCAATGTTATTGCTTCCCAGATCAAGTAGCCATTGTCTTCAGATCCAACTACATAATCTTCGAAGTGATGCGCCCACACTTCATAATCTTGAGTGTAGAGTATGGGAATCCTTGTAGTTGATCCTATGCTGTTGGAGATGTTGATTGGATTGCTTTGAGAGTCATCATGAGACATGATGAACGTATTCTGTTAGAATTAGACTTGTAACGTTGAACTTAGGGTTTTATCAAACACTAGAGATACCGTCGACAGGAAGAAGACAACGTCTTTATATTGATAAAAGCGGAAACCCTAAAGTATTCTTCAAACAGAAGAGATGCGTATGTATTACACAGTCTCCTGCTCTGATACCAATTGTTGGAATATTTGAGTTGTAGATCGATAGATTCCAAACAGAAAAACAATATTTAATCAAGTAAAGAACACAAGAATGGATCAATGGTGTCGAATGATTAATAACTCACACCTTAGAAGAGCTCGATGAAGAACTTCGACTGTAGAGGTGTGTTAGGGTTACAATCAAGCCTACTGATCAAGAGATTCGGGAGAAGGTTCAGAAAGAGAAGGAACTTCTTGAGAAGGAATTGAAAGCGAAGGAACTGCTAGAGCAGAAGAAGTCCAGGTTTCCTGAATGGACTATGGAATCGCTTCTCAGGGAGGTTATTGATGCACCGAGCACTCATTGGCTTGAACCCGTCTGCATTATAGATTCACATTCAGCAATGATTTCGTCCTCCTTAAACTCAAGGAAGGGCAAAATCATTTTATGAATCTGTTTTCCTATCTCACAATCTAAATGTAACTGAGTGATATTAGTATATAGACGTTTAGCAATCAAACAGAAAACATTTCGTTGTTTCAAAATTTTCAAATTGTCTCTTTGCAAATAAATAAGTTCATCCCTAGCCCTACTCAACTCTAACTCCTTCTGCTGAATCCATATTCTTCTCTCCTCACTCTTGGAAGACTCCCTGCTGAGTTCGTCAGTTAGGTTAGAATTTGCTAAGCGTGTTTGCATAAGACTACCACTTAAATTGGAAAACTTGGATTTTAAATCATTTAAGTCTTTTTCATAGTTTATTATTGGTACTTTATGAGATTCTAGGATAGTTTGTACCTTCTTGATCAACTGATCGCAGTCGCTGATCTTTTCACTCATGGGCTTGGCTGCGAAACATCTGTCTTCCATGACCTTCGCTTCCTCATGCTTACTTTCGGTTGTGACCATTAAGCATCTCCCAGCCGACTCAGCAACTCCTTCTCTCGCTACATATGCTCTTCCATGTGAGGGTCTGCGTACCTCTTCATCCTCAGAATCTGTAGACCAAACTTCCACTCCACCAAACTCATCATCAACAACGTTTTCCTGCACAATCAAAGCATTCATGGACACGTTAGCAGTTTCCTTCTTCTTTATCTCCTCCAGCTTTCTCATGTAGTAAGTCTCGTCATCTTCACCCTCTTTTTTCTCAGCCATCTTTCTCAGCATACAATCCTTGGCAAAGTGGTTCTTGCCATGACAGTAGTTGAAATCGTAGCCAGAGTCTCCCACAAGTTTACTCCTTCTTCTCATCGTTCTTTTGGGTGTTGTTCTTCGGTTCTTCCTTCACCTTTTCAGAACTATAGCTTCCCTGCCAGTTTCGGTTCTTATTGACTGGGAATTTTCTGCGAGCAAACTTCTTTGGGTTTGTGACCATCATTGCATATTCTTCGTTGGATAGATCACACTCAGACAAATCAGATTCCTCCTCCTCGTTTGCTACATTCTTGCTTTTAGAAACGAGGGCCAGTGAACCCACACCCGAAACTACTTTTGCTTCCTTCGTTACCACGCTTTCATGAGATTTTAGAATACCCATTAGTTTCGCCAGTGAATATGATTTAAATTGCTCATGAGCCTTCACAGTTGAAACTACCGCCATCCATTCGGGCCTTCATCCATTCATGAAGGTAACCTTTTGTTCAATCACCTTCCTTTCAATGCCATGTTTCATCATCTTGCTGAGCAGATGATTGAATCGCTCGAATGTCTGAACAAGCTTCTCTTCATGTTTCTGTACAAAAGCACCAAACTCAGAGAGCAAAAGGGTTTGGATCGAGTGCTCTAGATCTTCATCTGTTGAGTACAATTCTTTCAACCTATCCTATATTTCTTTAGCTGTTGTGCATGAACTCACCAGTCGAAATGTATCGGACTGTAATGCAAACCAGATCATCCTCATGGCTTTGACGTTACATAACACCTTGTCATTTTCGTCTTGAGGCATCTTATCTTGGTTCGCCAGGAGTTGGTTATACTCTTTTTGAGTTTTGACTGTTCCATTTGTTCCAGAGTGAACAAACGGACCCAATGTTATTGCTTCCCAGATCAAGTAGCCATTGTCTTCAGATCCAACTACATAATCTTCGAAGTGATGCGCCCACACTTCATAATCTTGAGTGTAGAGTATGGGAATCCTTGTAGTTGATCCTATGCTGTTGGAGATGTTGATTGGATTGCTTTGAGAGTCATCATGAGACATGATGAACGTATTCTGTTAGAATTAGACTTGTAACGTTGAACTTAGGGTTTTATCAAACACTAGAGATACCGTCGACAGGAAGAAGACAACGTCTTTATATTGATAAAAGCGGAAACCCTAAAGTATTCTTCAAACAGAAGAGATGCGTATGTATTACACAGTCTCCTGCTCTGATACCAATTGTTGGAATATTTGAGTTGTAGATCGATAGATTCCAAACAGAAAAACAATATTTAATCAAGTAAAGAACACAAGAATGGATCAATGGTGTCGAATGATTAATAACTCACACCTTAGAAGAGTTCGATGAAGAACTTCGACTGTAGAGGTGTGTTAGGGTTACAATGCCAGTAATTAAAAAGAACGATCTTTTTCAAAGCTATACATGCATGCTATATTTATATTCTAACCCTAATGTTTATCCACGGTTGGACAGGCCCAAACCGGGTTAACTAAATGGACTTATAGCCAAGCCCACAGACGCAACACCAGACCCAACATTGTTATGAAACAACTGCTCGAGATTGATCCAGGCTTAGGCAATGACATTCTATTTCGGAATGATCTATAGCAGCGGTGGGGAGATAGTATCATAAATCCATGATTTTAAAATGGAATCGAGACAAACCCTTCTTGTCTTTCGATTATAGCATGAGCTTTTCCCGAGGGATCTTCCAAGTTATCGATAATGCCATACCCAACCCAGTAAGTGTAGAAAAGCTCACGACACATAGCCACACAGTGAACATAAAGTGAACTGTTATTTCACCTTTTACTAAAGAAAAGCCCACACCATGCATGGTAGTTGAGACGATCAAGGTCGAGGATTAGAGGAGAAGGAGCTCATATGTTGGTTATGCCATGCGTTTTTCTAAGGCAATGGTTGGAAAAGCACTGCTTGATCCCATCATCATCGGTGGTAAAGGAGAAGTCAACGACAATATGTAGAGTTACATGTGAGGTTTTCGGAAAATATAGGAGAGAGAAAGAGGTTGATTAGAAAAGTAGTTCTAATACTTTCATAAACATCATTTTGCTATGAAAACATATCTCGCGTACATATAATCCGAATACACAATAATCCAATTACTTGTTCTTGTTATCATGGTAAAATACATCAAAAAAAAGACACATAATTTACTTTTATCAATTCATCTGATTAAATATTATTTTATTATTCATTATAAGAAACTAAGTGACTAAATCCTAAAATGTGTTTCAAGTACTTTGGTTTTTTTAAATAGGACGATCGAAAAATCGTTTTTTTCTGAGTCATAAAAAATAATTAAATAATTAATTATGTAAATCGATAATTTGTAAAATCACAACTGGTTTCAAGAAAATTTTCCAATTCTATTATGTTTGTATTACTTGTTATAATCGGTACAATTTTCCTCGATAAAATATTGAATATATAAATTTACATAATCTAACAATGCAGTGTCCTACAACCATCGTTCCTTTCTTTGGAGATCAATATTTTTGGGGAGATAGAATATATAATAGAGGACTGGGGCCCACTCCAATTCCAATATCTCAACTTACAGTTGAAGCACTTTCAGATGCGATAAATTTCATGCTACAACCCGAGGCAAGTAAACAACCATTCTTCTAATACAAATACAATCAGTTTCTTTTGAAGTTTAAAAGATTTTTTACGTAGAAAAGTACATCGTGTTTTTATTTTTATATCGATTTTGTCATGTTGCTTAACTTTTTTATGTTCTTATTATACTAATGTATAGTTTTGTGGCTATTGATTAGTTTAGAGGGTAAAACAATAAAATTGTTAATTACATTGTGTTTTTCATGCTTGTCTAAATATTAACACGAGTAAAAAATATTTTTTTAACTGTAAAAATAATAATGACTTGACCGGTACATAAAATAGAAAATAGATAAATGATTTAATCTTTTACAAATCAATGGTTTATTGTGACTTTCATAGGTGAAAGCTCGAGCAATGGATTTAGCGAAGCTAATAGAGAATGAAGATGGTGTTACTAATGCCGTGAATGCATTCCACCGCCACTTGCCGCCAGATATGCTGTTGTCGCCACCTCCATCTTAAAAGTAAGAACATGATGATTATCCAAACCCTTTACAATGGTTGTTTACTTGGATCAGGACTACACAGATCACATAATAAAACTATATGTTGTACAAGAATTTTGTGATTCTTACTGATATTTCAGTTGTATAAGTTTTATGCGAATCAACAACTAAGAAAATTCACAATTCAGATAACGCAAAATTATACATAGTTTAGTGCGGAAAATATCTACAATCAGATTTATACTAGATTGTTTTGGATCTGGTACACAAAGACAAACATGTTAATAGTAGTATGGAAATCTGGATTACTTGTATTGATTAAGATCACTTTTTGAATTGATATTTCCACTAGATGCATGTGTATTATGAAATTCAATCTAGGATAATCAGAAGAACACCTTCGAATCTAGGCACCGAAAAAAAGCCAAACTGTTAATGAAAATTATGAACGTTCAGAGAGAAAAAGAGGGCCAAAACAAAGTAGAAAAATTATGTATCTTAATGCATGTAGAAGGCAATATATTTGACAAATTAGGCCGTTACAATTGAATTAATTGTAGCTTATTTAATTGTAACGTCCAACCAACTCATCATTATTCCATAAAGGTAACCAAAGTATAAGTTTTAAATTCCAAAATCAAATATAAGAGTAAATAAAATAAAAGTCAACAGTGTAGAAAATCTCCATTCAGGCCGTGGCCTTCCCTTTGCTACCAGAAATACCAGAAACATTAAAACTTAAAACCGTAAGAACAAAAATTAGTGAATTCCCCAAAACACCATATGATATACAATTAACGGGTGTAACCCAGCATTTATGTTTCAATCATGCTGGCCCAGCCCCGAGGGTCTACCCCAACGGGCCCAGCCAACAAGCGCATAAGCATTCAAGAAAAAGTCACAAAGACAACAAACATAACATGACACTCAGTGTCCGATAGTATGGTGATAAGACTCACATGAATCAAAAGCTGAAATGAAAATCCACACAGTCATGTAGAATCAGCTACGCACACCACCTAAACCAAACAGATGTCAAACCTCAGTCTACTATTCCACTTCCACTCTGAACCCTTACGGTGCTGCGACTGCACATTCACTAGCCCAGTCACCTTGTTGCGCAAGGTCTTTGTCTTCCTTTCTAACACAACAACCGGTCTCTCCACATAGTTCAGACGCTAATCGATCTGAATATCACCTAATGGAACAATGGTAGTAGTGTTAGCTATACACTTCCTCAGCTGAGAAATGTGAAAGGTACTATGAATCTGGTAGAGCTCTTCATGTAAATCCAAACGATACGTCACCCTACCCACGCGATCAAGGATCTGTAAAGGTCCAATAAACCTAGGGCCTAACTTTCCCCTCTTCCAAAAATGAATAATGTCTTTCCAAGGCGGTATTCTTAACAACACCATGTCTCCAACCTAGAACTCTAACTTAGAACAACATCTTTCATCATAACTCTTATGTCATCTCTGCATCGTCTGAAGTCATTGCCTAACCTGCTGAATGAGCTTCGTAGTCTTGAGCACCAACTCCATGCTCCCCATGACTCTCTGACCAACCTCTCCCCTACAGATTGGGGTTCGAAAATTCCTCCAATAAAGAAGCTCGAATGGAGGCACACCGATGCTATAATGATAGTTGTTGTTGTAAAACAACTATGCCAAGGGAAGATAAAAATCCAAGCTTTTGCCAAAGTCAATAATATATTCCCTCAACATATCCTCGAGTGTCTGATGGTCCTCTCACTCCGCCCGTCGGTCTGAGGGTGATATGTCGTGCTGAAGTGAAGCCGAGTAAACCTCACGTCACTATTAGAAACTATAGAAATTGGCACACCATGACGAGAAATGATCTCTCAGACATAAATGGCAACTAACTTCTCTGCTAAATAACTCTCCTCAATGGCAAAGAAATGGGCACTCTTGTTCAATCTATCCATGATGACCCAAATAGTGTCAAAACCGCAGTCAGTCTTGGGTATCTTGGTAATAAAAACCGTGGTAATCTATTCCCACTTCCATAGCGTGATATCCAAAGGCTGCAACTTGGCTTGAGGCTTATGATGCTTAGCCTTGAACTTCCTACAAGCCAAACATCTCTCAACATACCAAGCTATATCCTGCTTCATGTGAAGATTCATCAAGCCAGGGCTATCGATATCAAAATCTAAAACCTGACTAACAACCCTCTCACTCTTCCGATTCTCTTCCTTGATTGCATTTACCTGTGCTCCTCTGATCATATCCAATATTGGGGTACCAATGGTCATCCTAAAAAACAAGTACCTAATAAGAGAACTAGTCACCCTACGACTCAAGGCATCGACCACCACGTTGGTCTTACCCAGATGGTTTAAAATCTCGTAATGATAATCCTTCACCACGTCGAGCCACCTATGTTGCCTTATATTTAGATTTGGCTGATCCATCAAGTATCTTAAGCTCTTGTGGTCTGTGTAGATGTTACACTGAACCCTATACAAATAGTGACGCTAAATCTTGAGGGCAAAGGCCACTGCCCCCAACTTCAAATCATGAGTCGAATAATTAGCCTCATGAGGCTTCAACTGTCTTGAAGCATACGTAATAAGTCGTTCCTATTGCATGAGTACAACTCCCAATCCTGTGATCGAAGAATCACAATAGACAACAAAATCCTTAACACCCTCATGAAGGGTCAATACCAATGTCTCACACAACTTCTTCCTCAAGGTCTCAAACGTTTCCTGCTACTCAGGCCCCCACTGAAAAGCAATAGTCTTCTTCGTCAAATGAGTCAGAGGTACCACTATATTCGAGAAATCATAGATGAACCTTTGATAATACCCAACCAAAACCAAGAAAGCTATGAATCTCATATGGAGACCTCGAAACCTCCCACCGCATCACTGCCTCAATCTTAACCAAATCAACTAAGATAACATTTTGGTTGGGGAGGTTCCCCTAGAACTGGACCTTTTGTAACCAAAACTAGCACTTGGAGAATTTGGCATAAAGCCACTCCCTTCTCAGAGTCTCTAGAACCTTTCGCAGGTGCACCTTATGTTGGTCCTTGGTCTTATAATATGTAACTCCGTGATTTTTACTCCATTTTTTTCTTTATTTAAAATACTTTTTAACATAATATGTTAGCGGAACACTTATGTAACGACCCAAAAATCATGTCTAAAATTTTTCATTTTAATACTATAGACCATAGTTGTCAAACCATTCATTCAAAACATATTTAATCCGAGTATCTTGTCTAAACATATCATATCAGAGTAAAATATCCCAGGCTAAAACATCACGGTGTATGCGATGAAATCATCCCGAGCTCTTCCCATCGCTACTGGAAGTACCTGAAACCAAAACTGAAAACCTTAAGCACGAAGCTTAGTGAGTTCCCCATACTACCACATACTAGACATATAATCACATACTGGGCCCCCGCCCGCTGCATCGGGACTTGCCCGGCATCGGACTCGCTTCGGCATCGGGCCCCGCCCGGCATCAGGCACCGCCTTGCATTGAGCCCCGCTCGGTATACAGATCTGTCTCTCATAGGCTCCGCCTGTCTCTGGGCCTCGCCCGCTATACACATACACACATGTAACATACTAGTACAGAAGGAAACATACCCTGATGTACTCATGTTCTAAGGCCTCGCCTATTTTGGGCCTCGCCCCTGTTCTGCTACTGATGAGTCATGGAACCCCGTCCACACTCGGATAGTGGTGAGATATGGGACCTCGCCCACACTCACCTCCCGACCAGGCACATACATGTATCACAAAGACAACAAGTATACTCTACTATGCAACATATAACATTCCTCGGGCTTACCCTGGCATTGGACCCTGGTCCGGAAACATACTACTGGCTCATTCAAGAATCACAAAGACCTCTAGCATACTAACATACCTCGGGCCTCGCCCAACATCGGATCGTAATCCAGAACATATATCATAAAAATGCCTAGGGCTAACCCCCGGGTCTTCCTACTATACACAAAGCATAATGGGCCGGCATTGTGGCCATAGACCCCCACACAGTAAGGAGACTCACCTTGCACTGCCGAAGTCCTGCTGATACCCCTCTGGCTGCTATCTGGAAATTCCTGAGCTGCTGATCCTTCGGCTCCCCAAGCTACCAATACCAAAATATTACTTAGTCCAAAACAATAATCCTTCTTAGGGTAAAATGACCGTTTTACCCTCCCCCCCAGACCAACTTGATCCCTTCCTAAGGCCCAAACCATGATCTACAAAGGCCCAATACTAGGTAGGCTTCCCAAGCCCACTAATGGCCCAATTTGCTAAATTGGTACCAAACCCTCAAATAGGCCTTACCCTAAGCCCAAATATCTTCTTGGCCCACATTATCTGACTTGTGATGACCCACTAAGGTCCAAAGAACCAAAATCCCTTGCATGGCCCAAACCGAGGCCCAAAACAAGCCAAACCCATATTTGATGAGTACGCTAGGCGTACTCCTATGTACGCTAAGCGTACTGGATGAAGGTGGTGTACGCTGCGCGTACCTGTATGTACGCCCAACGTACTCCTTTGTTAAGCTACTTTTCCATTAAGTGCTTAATACTCCATTCCAACAACTACAATTACAGATCCAAGTCCTCTTTGACATCTTATTCCATAAAGTTGGTTACTTGGTGGCTTGCAACCCACCAAATGAGCCCAAACTTGAAATGTGACAACAAACTACCATGAAAAGGGCTAGATCTCAAGCATGTCCACAAATGAGCCCTAAAGATTGAAACTTTACTGCTTATGGGACTCACATGATATTAAGGGTGGAAACCCTGGACCTAAAATCGTGCATGAGTCATAAAGATCCATTCTTGGGACCATAAGAGTCCACAAACTCATCCTAAGAGAGATCTAAGAGATTAATCATCAAGCTCAAGACTTTATACCTTGAAAAGGTCTGAAGTAAAGCAATAATCCCAGATCTGAACCTTCTCTTTTGCACCAACACCTTGCCTTGACCTTTGCTTCCTTGAAGCGTG